TCCAACTGTGGCATTTCTTTTAAAGCCCTTTCTGTGATGTCGCCTAGACGTCCGACTGTGGCATTTCTTTTAAAGCCCTTTCTGTGATGTCGCCTAGACGTCCGACTGTGGCATTTCTTTTAAAGCCCTTTAGGTGGCGTCGCTAAGACGCCCGAGTGTGGCATGATTTTGTTATTATTTGTTCACCTTTCGAGGCGTCGCTCTAGACACCCGATCGGTTCTCATTTATATTTTGTTGGGATTTCAGGCGGACTACCGCCGTTTCCCCCGTACTTATTTCGCTATGCAAATTTTTAATTGTGCATTGGAAAGATTATTCATGACGCATTCATGCATGCATTTGTTATATCTTACGTCCGAACTGTCTTGCGAGTACTTTCAAAGTACTCACTGGCTTGTTGATTTGGCCAGATGCTGACGAAGGTGATCTCATGGATGAAGAGTTCGATAACGAGTCCGACGCCTAGAGGAATCCCAGTCAGTCTCGTGCGACCCTGGTCTTGGTCACTATTTTATACCCGCTTCCGCAACCCGAATAAATTTATCGAGCCTCACCTCGACGCTCGATGAGATACCAGTTTGAGAGTCGTATCACCACACTTCCCATTGTGTTTTTCCATCATCACTTTATCCTCGAGTCAGTAGTATGCCACCTCACCATTGTGTTATATCCGCCATTATGTATAATTATTGGCGCGCTTGTAATAATTTGTTGAGCAGCCCTAGCTCAACCCTGTAATATATTCTATGCTACTGGCTTATTGTATCAAGAAATTGTCTACCAGTGTGGAGTATTTCTCTCATACTGGACTCAAAAGATTGGTTTCTCAATAAATGTTTTATTGGAAAACCGGTCGTGACACGAATCGGAACCATCGAACTCTTATGGAAATTGGTGCACAGACCGGTGACATCCCCAAAGCCCCTCAGAATAGTCGCAAGGTTGTCCACATCACTTTTAAACGGAGCTACAAACACGGCCGCGTCGTCCGCATAGAGGGAGGTACACACCATGACACCTCTCCCTCGGAGCTTATGAAGCAACCCCTTTTTTGTCGCTATGTCGAGGATACGTTGTAGGGGGTCAATAGCTATGACAAACAAGAGTGGAGAGACGGGGTCCCCTTGCCGTAGCCCCTGGCCGTGCTTGATGGGAGCACCAGGTACCCCATTCAAGAGGATCCTCGAAGATGAGGAACATAGGAGTGCCGCAATCCACTCTCGAAATTTGCTTGGAAAACCTCGTCTCCGAAGGAGGTCAGGCAAATACTCCCATTTGACAGAGTCAAAGGCCTTGTGAATGTCGAACTTGAATAGCAGGGAGGGGGTCTTGCTCTTGTGAAGGCGCCGCGCAAGGTTTCGAACATACATGAAGTTGCTGTGGATGCTCCGAGTTTTGATGAAAACACTTTGAGCGTTGGAGACGAGGGTGGACACATGAGTAATACTTAACAAAGGATCAAACTTGAGTTCATTCAAATTGATACATATGTGGACTGGTAGAAACGAAAAAAGAATATGTTTTTTTCGAAAAGGATGAAAAAAGAATATGTATAAATAGATCTGCACATATGTACGAAAATGATAAATGTGAAAGAAAATAGTGCAGATAAATATTTTACATTGGAGGATTTACAAAATCAAATATTTTACATTGGAGGCATCATCGTCTAAACACTTCCAGTCCTGTCTCATCGGACGGTCACCAACGATACCATTCAACATTTCCACAAGCACAATGGCATATGTGGAAGCACTCGCGCCACTGCTACCACACTCGATTTTATTACTCGGCAGCATGAAAAAAGCTGAACATTTCAGGAAGGTGGTACGAGTATCCCTCTCCCTCGGCATCCTGCAGAAGCCCCGTCTTCTGGTAGTATTCGATGCTATCCAGGAGCGTCTCCTCCAATTTCCTTGGCTTCCAACCTAGATTTCTCAATTTTTCCGACGAGGTCAGTGAGATGGGAGAGTTATGTTCCACATCAGTCTTGCTGCAAGAAACGAAGAGAGCTGTTCAAACCATGGAAACAGAATGTGCCATTTGCTGCATACAAGGAACGCATGGTAAGAGACCCACCACTTCACGTAATTGTAGTTAGGGTGCGCCTTCCTTAGCAATTCCACCATGGCTTTTGTGGTAATGTAATTTGGTGCACTGATATATCTTCCAGATGATTCTGGTTTCTCGTATACCAGAAGCAAAGCATCAGCCACATCACGGACATCGACTATCTCCCACATCACGTCGTTCATCGCGTTAGGACCTCCTGCAATGAAATTGACAAAAAGTTAGTAGACAAAAAACGAGATAAGTAGTTCTTCAAAGACACACCATAAGATTTTTCATGTTTTCCCCTTCAAAATTCTAGTGGATGAGCCACTCCATAACATGACCTGTTTGTCAGACATAAGTGATATTACTACAAATAAAAAAATGGAAAAGAACAGGATATGATGAGGGGACCTTTTATAAGATAAGAAGAAGTTCGCTGGTGGTATTGACAACAGGTTGTAATTGCGGACCAAAAACAATACAAGGGCATACTGTTACGATGTCTAGCCCATTCTTTTCTGCATATTCCCAGGATGTCTCTTCAGCAACAGTTTTTGCAAGAAAGTACCAAAGCTGCCAGCCAAAATTGTAAAGAGTTGAACTTAGCCCTGGGACTAGAGAAGAAAACTGAAATACGGCAGGGATATTACACAACAAATATATAGAACTTTGACACAACCACCGAATGACCATTGTTGATGCCAGAACGAGCCGTCGACACACTGTTGTCACCGCTCATATACCCACCACTGGCCGCTAGAGCGGTAGGCAGAGAGTAGGCAAACTCACGGCCTCGCCAGCGGGGATGAGGAAAGAAAAAGTTTAGAGTTCTAATATGGGTGATCGAATACGCTCCTAATTACTATCACTAAGTGTCTTTAGAGTTCAGATGGAAAGTCTAGACTGTGCGTGCGACATGGAATGTTTGTGTGTGTTTCCTACTCTTGTATAATAGGCTTCTTACATCACAATGCACGTTGCAACCGACGTTTTTTCTGAACTTCAAACATACTAACCTCATTTTCCATGCACACGTTTTTGTCCGACCAGCAACTCTCATCTTTGGGTTTATCCTGAGGCCAGTTCGGGTTGAAATGAACAGAAACAGTGGATGACACCACCCGATCGTGCCCCTGGCTCGGACGGATACATTGCGGCTTTCTATCAAAGGGCATGGCCTATTATTAAGAAGGATGTCATGGCTGTCATGTTGAAGCTCTTTGTGGGAGATGGTAGGGGATTCGGGAAGCTGAATAAAGCACACATCATTCTCATTCCCAAGAAGCGGGATGCAGAAGAAATTGGCGACTTCAGGCCAATAAGTTTAACACACAGCATGCCGAAGCTCTTTGCCAAAGTCCTTGCAAACCAGCTCAGGAAGTAGATGCATACGATCGTTGAAGCCAACCAATCTGCCTTCATCAAAGGCCGGCACCTTCATGATAACTTCCTCCTTGTTAGGCAAGTGGCAAGGAGGATTCATGCACGCAGAACGCCGGGAGTGTTCCTGAAACTCGACATATCGAGGGCATTTGATTCCTTGTCATGGCCGTTTCTTTTCGAAGTCATGACTGCCAAAGGGTTTGGTCCCAAATGGAGGACATGGATGGCGATTCTCCCGCATTCTGCTACCACCAAAGTGATCGTCAATGGTGTCGCTGGGAAAAGCTTTGGACACGCGTGCGGACTATGCCAAGGTGACCCTATTTCGCCTCTGCTCTTCGTCATCGCCATGGATGTTCTGACCAAGCTTTTCCATCGCGCTATGGAGGCTGGTGTGCTTAGCTCTTTCACTGGAATCAAGGCCATGCAAAGGGTCTCAATCTACGCGGATGATGTGGCTCTGTTCATAAAGCCTATTGTCACGGATTTGAGCTGTGTGAAGGATACCTTGAAGGCTTTTGGTGAAGCATCTGGACTTAAATTGAATTATAGAAAGTCATCGGCCATTGTGATTAGAGGGGAGGTGGAGGACAGACAAAGGGTGGCTGCACTGCTACAATGTGACCTTGTGGAGTTCCCATGTAGGTACCTTGGTTTGCAGCTTGCTATCAAGAGCTTGACTCACGCGGACTGGCAGCCCATGCTGGATAAAGTAAGACATTTCGTGCCTGCCTGGCAAAGGGGGCTGATCCAAAGACCGGGTAGGTTGATCCTGGTGCAATCCATCATATCAGCTCGGCCGACACACCATTTAATGATTGTGGACGCCCCGGTCTGGGTATTTGAGGAGATCAATAAGTGGATGAGATCTTTCTTTTGGGCTGGCAAGGACAAGGTCAATGGTGGACAATGCATGGTCGCATGGGATAAAATCTGTCGCCCTAAGTGCCATGGTGGGCTTGGAGTGAAGAACCTGCAAATGCAATCTTTAGCGCTAAGGGTCAGGTGGGAATGGCTAAAGCATACAGAGCTTGCGAGGCCCTGGCAGGGACTACCAATGATGGAAGACAGATTGGCGAGGGAGGTGTTTGACAGCTTGGTTCATATTCAAGTGGGAACAGGCGAGAGGGTCCTGTTTTGGAGGGATCGGTGGATACATGGGTTTTCAGTAGCTGACATTGCTCCAATCCTGCTTACAACGGTCCATGCGAGGGTGATCAATACTAGAACGGTGCAGCAGACTCTTCTCAACAACAAATGGACGGAGGACTGCCAAATCGAGATCTCTTTCATGGCGCAAATGCAATGCATGCACCTTTGTCATGCGGTGGCGACAGTCGACAGACGTGAGACTGAGCATGATGTATTCACATGGACTTGCTCATCTACTGGCCAATACACTGCCAAGTCAATCTATTCCAGCCTTTGCAGTGGATGGCCTAAATCACCTTTGGCCAAGTGTGTTTGGAGAAGCTGGGCCCCCCTCAAGTGCAAAATATTTGTTTGGCTTGCAATGCAGTACAGGATATGGACATCGGATAGGAGAGCCAGGCATGGGCTTTAGGAGGAGAGTTCAGCCTGCTACACGTGCCTACAAGATGAGGATAATGCTGATCATATTCTCCTACAGTGCCCATATGCTAGGGAGGTCTGGTACTGGACATGGGACATCTTGCAGATCAACACTCTTCAAGCTCTACCTAATGACAATACCCTGGAGTGGTGGCTACGAGTTCGAAGAGGCTTTCAAGGGGCGGACAAGCGTGGTTTCGATACCACAGTCACGGCGGTTCTTTGGGCTTTGTGGAAACAGAGGAACGCGAGAGTTTTCAGTAGGATAGATCAGCAAAAAACCCCGCTCGAGCTTGTCAATAGCACGCTAAATGAGATTGCTGAGTGGTCGCAGGCGGTAGGTGGTGTTGGTGGATTACAACGGTTTATGAGGAGTTAGCATAGACGTAGCTGGGTGGTGTTGGTGTTGGTGTTCCCGTGTGGGCCATATGTTCGCACTTAGGCCACACTTTTTGTAACTATGCCTTCTTCTTCTTTTATAAAAATATGGTACGTTTTTGGCGTACTCTCGAAAAAAAAACACCACCACAACTTTCTGAACCTTCATAGTTGAACAAACTTCTAGAATATTCGAGGTGCCCTTGACAGCAGGCATAATTACTTCCGACTGCACGGTTAAAATTGGCACAAGATTAGAATCATACCATTAAAGATTTCACAATTCCAACAACGCTTGTAATAGTCTCAACATCAGTAAGTCACATTCTTCTAAGAGTATCTATCTCTGTCAATTATCAATTATATACTAAAAACATAATACAAATGAAATAGAGAGATTTGTTAGAAAATCCCATGTTAATCAGAGAATCCCGGCCCTCAATGTAGAGGAGCTTCTAAAATTATGAAACTATGGCATATGTATGAGCGTCTGGCCGGTGGTGGACCTTTCATTTATTTAGTTATCGAGGGGTCCTTTAAGTGGAGAGCAAGCAGATCTAGAGTGCTCATTGTTTAAACAGAAAGAAAAAAGAGCCACAGTGCTCATGAAAAGCAACATGCATATGTATGGACTTTTCTTTTTTTGCAAGAAGAAATTATGAAACTATGGCATATGTATGTAGGAACATGGTGGTGTAGGATTAAATAAAGCAATGACGAAGAGACGGTGTTTGACTTGTTTCTCAAAATAAGATGTATGGCACCTTTTATTTCACCTATTTATACAGCAAGATGGTATTTTTCTTAGTGTGGTTTAAACTTCAGGCATGTTATTGTCCTGAAATGATTATTCTTTTTTGCAAATGTTTTGGCTAGAATGGAAGATGACGGGACAACATCTATGCAAACACTTGTGAATATATTTAAGTATACACATGGTTTTCTTTTGCGGAAGTATGAAAATAGCCAAATTGCACGAAAATATTACTATAGACTTCCTTTGATTTTTTTTTTGGTACAAACGAGTTTTGAATAATATGATATTTTGTATACAAAATATGACCATATGCTTTCACTTTATACATAGACCGAGAGAGGACATGTTTATGTTTTCACACCAAAATTTACAAATATACAACCATGATTAACATCATAAAATGTTTTTACTCACTCCACCATGAAATAATTGAAGTTCTAATAAGATTGTGCTAACTCAAAAAATTTATGTTTACCAAGTCTATAGAAAAATCTGGTAAGATCTACGATATCAAATATGTATTAGCTTTATAATATATTTTACAGTGAATCTAATGTAGCAAATTTGTATGCAGAAGTGGATATATTTGTTCCTCAAAAAAATATTATTAGTTCCTGAAAAAAAGGAAGTGGATATATTTTTATATAGACTTGGTCAAACATAATGAAGTTTCACTACGAACAAACTTCAATTACAGGGTTCAAGTCAGGGGAGAAAATTAAACCAGACATAAGCGGACGAGTCATAAGTAGATACCGATCGATGGTAAATTTATATTTGCGTCGACGACAACAAGAATAATAGGAAAACCAATATTCCGTTGAACAATTCCCTGATGGCTGATGCTACTACCGTACTACGGTTATGGGAGACTCCACGGATGCACGAAGAAATCGTGGGAAATATGCAAAATTGCGAACTGATAACAGAACGACGCACACTAATATCAAATCGTGGGAACTGGGAAACTTGCCTCAGGATCGACGAGCTTATCCACGGGCACAGGGGTCGCGACATGGAAGACGCCCTCGCACCCCCCGACGGCGGCGGCCAGCGCGGCGCGGTCGAGCACGTCGGCCTTGAACAGCCGCAGGTTCTCCGGCGCCCCGTCCAGCAGCATCAGATGGGCGTTCTTGGGATCACCTGAAACAGCACCCCGCCATTACCAACTTGGCCGGAGGGTCATCAGACCGGGTATAATATAATACCGGGGCAAGACATACATGGGTCGCGGAGCGTGGCGTGGACGGCGTAGCCCCGGGAGAGGAGCAGCTTGACGAGCCACGAGGCGATGAACCCGCCGCCGCCGCCCGCCGGTCACGCACACGTGTCGCGGCGGTGCCATACTCCTCCTCTACCTCGGTCGACACACGCGGGACAGGGATGGTTTGCAGGAATGCGTCGGAGCCTGGCGGTTGAGACTTTCTCCACCCACTTGCCGGTAGACTCCACGGCGCCAATCGGCAGCAATAGATTACGCCAGCTAAACAAGGACTCCTCGCGACACGGTGTCGAGACGACAAAGGGGCAGTTGGTGCGCAGTATCGGAAGTCGGAACCCATCGCGCCGCGACCTGTTCGTCGCCGGCCTCACAGCAATTGGATGGCGTGCATGATAGCCATCCGATCACGTCACCCCGTTCAGGTGTGCCCTAGTTGTTTGCAACATGACATTTGTTGCTCTCGGGCGTTTGCAACATGAACCAAGTTGCGGTCGCCTCCAGCTTGGATAACATTGCAAACACCCCCTTTGATCACCCATTGCAATACGAACCATGTGGTGGTTATCCGTTGCAACTTGAACCATGTTGTGGTCACTTCCAGATGACGACGTCACCCATCGCAACTCGTTATCCTCGTTGGTGGAGTTTGTAGTGTTTGGCTGCATCACGACATTCTACCTGTTGCGATAGTTGGTTGTGCTTCGGAGATAGGCGTTCATGGTGCCCTGCTGCTACGAC